GGGAATGGACTGAGTGTGGCTGATCGAAATCTCCCTGTTGACAATTCCAAGTATCGATCTGCCTGCATCTGAGGCTGACACATGCCCCCTTCATCTCACCCTCCCACCTTCTATCACACACACTCACACACACATAGTCTGCAGGGTGTAGGAAAAATCCTTCAGTAACATATAACATGTTGAGTACCAGGCCACGGAATTGTGTTCAGGCTGGATTCATTTGGTGAATAAAATTTATTGATGAGGTTTGGACATTTATAATTAAGTACAGAGCAAAGTAATGTGAGAAGACAATAGCAAAATGGAAGCAAGAGAAAAAGCACCCACAAAGAGAAGCTTTAAAAATAAGAAACTGAATTTGATGTGGCATTCTGCATTGCACAAAAAGCCATATACAACGTTTATTCATTCAATGTTTATTCAGTGTTATTCACTGCATCCTGTTCACATAATGGATCTTAGTGCTCACACTGAAAAAGTGTAAGAGGTGATATAGGTTTGATAACACATTATAGGAAAGGTTGAATTCAATGAAATGCTGTCTGAGGGGATGCTATCCTTTATTGTAATCTTTATGGGGGTGTCGCAGAGCAATGGTACAAAACGAGAGGTCGGGACCCCCATTGTGTCATGACACAGAAGAAAGTCACAAGATGATTTTTCAGAAATCAAATGCAGTAATACCAAGTGAAATATAATATTTTGGCCAGGGTTAGTTAGTTTTAATTACCAGCACCACATAAAACGTTGCAACATGTGCAGGCAGGGGAATTCTTTACTTAAATCCCAATATTTGGGATAATTTGGGTCACAGGACTATGGCACGGTTATTTTGGGGGGCTGAGAAGTTTGGGAGCCTCATTCCAAGCAGAGCAGTGGTTGGTGCTGTAACTATAAACATCCTGGGTTGGAATCTGTCCTGGTTCACTTCTGTTATCAATTTCTCCTGGTTTACTGTTGCACACTGTCCATGTACCAATCTATGTCAGATTCCACATTTCAAATTGTCTTGCTGTACAAACTACATGGACATATAATTGGGTATGGTGGATGTTCAAATTCAGTTTTGCTCATTTAGATGTCCAGCAGACATGGAGCGACATTCATTAGGAGTCCAACTGTTGAACCTTTTTTTTTTTAACTCTGTCTTGGTCTCTGGTAACTCCTGTGGGAACTGTCTGACTCTTAAACTGTTAATACTCCCAATTCCCTATAGAGTTGTTTTTCTTTAATTTTGTTCATTTGTTTTCTTTGGTCAGACTGTAATGGCTTCATTAGCTTTTTGGCTGAAAAAGGTGAGTGACTGCGACTATTGGCAGAGCAAATAAGGGTGATTAAACCAAAACTAGAGCTAAAAGACACAAAAACACTCCATGGAGCTGAGAGAAACAGCAGTTTGGTGACACACAGGCATTTGAGTCAGAGTAATGCAGCTTTATCAGATCAGTTGTAAAAACAAACCTAAAAATGTCAACATAACTGAAATTAAAATTTGATTCAGATGATTGCATAGCTCCACCAAGGCTCAATAGTCCCTTAAATTCAATCAAGCTGCACCATATCCACACACTCATTGATATGAGTCTTCTAAATTGATCCATGAATCTCTCCCTTGGAAATCATTGTAAATGTCAAAAAACACCAATGTTAAAGACAGTGAAAGAAAACAATCCTGGATCTGGCCCCTGATGCAGATCCACACCAAAACTTAAAGGTTTCTTGGGTGATCCATACTGCATCCTTCCACCAACTTTCATAGTAATCCATCCTGTAGTTTTTGCGTTATCTTGATTCCTTAGCTGAGGTAAAAAAAAATGGTTTTGGAAGTATTCTCAGAGGTCAGAGAAAAGATGTCCCTTCACAGAAATCAAGATTTGCCTTCACAGTCTCTGCTGAAAGGGATTATTTCATTGGGAAAATACAGATATTTAAAAACTGTGAAGTCTGACTTCACAGAAAATATTCAAGTGTCTGTACATAAAATACAGTCAATCATATCTGTGGGTTGTCAGGCAGAAGCAAAACAGTTGAATGTATTTTCTTTGGAGTTATGTCATACAGCAGGAGCAGGTTTTTGCATTTATTGTGTGCAGTGTTATAAATGAATATTTTGAATATACTGAATATACTATGGTTGTGCATACATGTCTTCCTTGTCCAAATGTTTGTCTGTGTCTCATTCTCAAGCAAACTGTAACTGCAGATTCAGATAAACCTGTTTGGTCCAGAACCAACCCCAAAGAAAGGAGGACATTACATCAACATCAAGCTGGAATCATGGCTGGAGACTGTTCTTGGGTGTTAATGTGTACTGTGTGTGTATCCTATGTGTGTGTGTGTGCCAGCATCATTTAATGCTGTCATTTCTCCAACTGCACTTCCATTTTCTTTTGTTTTTTCTTTCTGAAGCAGAACATGGCCCACCACACATATTGATTTGTTTGCCGGGGTCTGGGTGCACCTGGCTCGACAGCAGGGGAGCATTCACATCATAGCATGTTCGCCGCGGTTCATCATGGTTGATGATGGAGGAGGCACGACATAGAACACTGCTGAGGTTAGGAGTTTACCATATGGGGTGAGAAGAGGGAATGAGCAACCATATGGATCCTCTGCCTGGGTGAGGTCTGAATACAAGTGTATGTATCTCTTAGAGTTTAAAAAACAAAGCCAAAGCAGGAGCCTTTATTTTGTAGGTGGGTTTGGATTGGGTGAACATGAATTGGCGAAAGGAAGTCAAATAAAAGCTGTGTTCCAATTGATGAAGGTACATTTGAAGAAGGAGTCACCAGTTACTTTAACTGTATTTGATTGGCTGCAAGCTGTTTACCCCTGAAACTCCATAAGGGGTTTTTGGACTCAAACACTTCACCCACCCATCCATCAGCATAGCGGTGTGTAATTTTCATTTTTAATGCCCCTTAATGTGTAGCTTGATATTAGAGACACTTTAAGAAGATCGAGCAATTTAGATCATGAAACATGTTTTTTTGTTTTCACTCCGTCAAATAAGGAAAGAGTAACACAAAAAATAAATCATTGAGGACATCTGTATGAAGCTTGGCTATTATTGCATCGGACCACTGCTTTTTTAAAGATATTGTTATTGCTTCAATGTGCAGCCAAAACCAGTCATATTTTAGTTTTTCTTGTTCTGCGACCGGTCTGTATACTTTTGTCACTATGAGCTGCCTCCTCTCCATCAGTGTTACTGACATATGCATGCATGTACCTTGGTGTGCAATGGGAAAAAGAATCGACCGGCTGCTGGCCCCTTCCTGATATTAGAGCACTACATAAGAAGCTGTACTCGCCTCACTTCTTCCAGCCTCAACAACACTTGTTTGTATCATAACTGTGAAATTGAAGGCATCTCTCTGCTGGAGTTTGTAGATTTTGTTCATAGTTTTTTTTTGTAATGTCCACCCTGATGTATATATTATCATACTGTAAATAAAACAATGTTATATCTGTTTACTTTGACTCTTTCTGAGACGGTATGATGAGTCTATCTTTGCTGCAGTTAGACATGACATATCACCAGTAGCATATATCATAGGCCTCATTCAAAGCAGATTGGACTTGTCATAGCAGTAAAGGCAAATATGTAACTAACATTAACAAAGGCTCTGTTCTATTCTAATGCCCTCGTAGGTCATGACGGTGTGATAGTGAGCCAGGACTTTGTAATATAATATGTAATATATCATCTGTTGTCAATGTTAGCAAAATTTTAAAAAGAAAGAATCAAGTAAAAAGCAATTAAACCGACTAACTCAGTTAGTCACTCATTTACGGTGCATTGTCTTTGCCTCTTATTCTCCAACTTCTCCATTGATTTAAACATTTTGAAATTATAAATACTAAATGATTATTCAAGTGCACTTTTTACTTTCAAACTTCCACAAAAGAAAAGAAGAAAGAAAGAAAATGCATGCTTGCACAGTGTTCCGCCTCTCCTGGGGTTCATTAGTAGCAATGGAATTCAGTGACCCAGAAACTAAACCTAGCCCAAATCAATTAGCAGACATACACATGCATACGGTTGAGCTGCTAATTACAAAGCCAAACTCCTCCTGAAGGGAGGGGTTTCCTCTTTGAAGATGAACCAGGCTGTGAAGAGCCTAAATGTTTTTTGTAGGTACAATCTTCTTGTTGCCTTCAACGTTATAATGTTGAACTAGAGCCAGCCAGAAGATGTTCAAGGGTGTTGATTTGTTTTCAAGGTTTGCACACATGCAAGACTGTTGTGTAAATGTGGAAAGATGTAATATTTTAGCTCTGATACCATATAAAAAGTTTGTCTCACTGCATGCTTGCCAACCTTTAGTTTTATAAAGGTAAAACATCATTTATTACTACTGATGATATATCTACATAACATATTAGAAAAAATAGGCCAGACCTACAGCCGTTTATTTTTTTATTTGCACATCACTGGATGATTTGATGGGACCAAATCCAAGCTAAAATAGAGGGTATACTGAACTCACACTTATCTGGTGGCCAGATATATTTTTTCAAATGAAAGGCTAATGTTGCTATAGTCTACTATAAATGTATTGTTCCCCACCTCAAGTCTAATGTTTCTTTTCTTTTAATTAGTTTTTATCCTCTAGTATTTAACTTGGCTTTGATTTTACTGATTGTTGTTATGTTCTGATTATTCAGAATAATAATACAATGAACAACAATAATAATGGTTTCCTCAAGCAAGGTTTTGTTTCATTTTTAATAACGATTACCTACTATATATTGATTGTTCTCCTTTTCTTTACTAAAATATATCTTGTCTTATTGGTTTTGATTCTTATTTTGTTGAGTGTCTTGAAAGGTGCCTACACGTAAATTATAATTATAACAATAAATTATTATTATTATTATTGTTAGTAGTATTATTAACAACAACGACAACAGCAAAAATAATGGTCATAATAATCATCATCATCATCATCATTTTCACTTATTTATTCACTTTTTTCTTAGGTTTTGTGGTTTAGTGGCTGCATTATCCTTTTAGTTCATATATTTGTATCTAATCTAATTCCATGCTGAGTCATTTAATCATGTACTGCATCTTTTCCTCTTGAAGCGCACAAAGTCTCCGTCACATGAAACATGCTTTATAAACACGGGTGGAAGTGTGACACTGCCACTCGTCTTTAGAAGACGTAATAACCTCTGGATGAATTCACATCTCGTGTGTTCCCCCCTCTTTACGTTGCTGTGGGACAGATAGAGGACCGACTGAGCGGATCCAGGACCTGAGCTCCATGTTGTTGTGGCAGCAGCAGCTGGGTCGGTTCTCCTTTAAGAAAGTGACAGCAGCCAGCGGTGGAGGAGCTGCTCAGGAGCTGCCAGGAGCAGGACGGGGCAGTGAAGGCATCTCCAAACTTTCCCAACACACACTGAAGTGCTCCCTTTGACTGTTTCCTGCCGTCTGTGGCTTGGATGTGTCAACAGTCCCACGCGCGAGCTTGTCGGTGATGAAGCGGATGCCACTGACGAGGACGTGACGGGGAACATGCGAGAGGAAAAAGTTGTGGAATGATGCCCGAGCGACTGCATCCCTCCCTCCAAAGTTCAGCTAAGGTGGCTAACGTTAGCTAGCGCAGGACTCTGCTCGCTTGTTTGAAACTTGACACAAATGTTTACTCCATTGTTGTGTAAACAGGTTGCAACACGTCCCCCGGTGTAACGGAGGGCGGGCGTGGTGTGGAAGTGAAAGTTTTCATCCTTAGCTTCGCTGTGTCCCACACAGTCCCAGGGCCAGGTTACACAGGATCGAGCTAATCACTAGCTAGCTTAACAGAGAGCTAGCTTCTGTCCAGTTAACCAGGGGGTTGTTCGCTCTCACCGAGAAGTGAGATAACACACTCTTCTCCATTACCTGCTCAGCTCCGATGTGAGGAGGCTCCACAGCTTTAAACGCGTCAGGAAACTTATTTACACACTGCAGAGGATCAGGACTTGTTGCATGCTACATGAGGAGATGTGGGAAGACGAGGGAGGAAGAGACAACAGCAGATAGATGATCATATGAGAAAGTAATGCTCGCCTGTCAGTATGATCACACTGCTGTCATTTGTTTTTTGTTTCTTCCATGTGCCTTTATTTGTGTCTCTGCATGTGGTCTGTTTCCATGTAGGTCACATGTATGCATGTTAATTAATGTGCAATAACATAAAACATTAAACACATTTGACTACTCTAGATCTGATCACTTAGACCGGCTGTGGGACTTTTAGATAAATTATAGAGTGATTTATATTTCATTCGAATGCAGGTGTTTGTCAGTGTCTGACCCCAGGCCACTCACTGTCCCTCCTGCTTTTCTCCCACCTGTCTCCTCTCCTGGTTGCTCACATCCCTGCCTCCTCCATCAAGACCTTCTGGTGGCCGTTCGATCCCAATTTGGAGCCGTCTTGCATTATTATCATCTCCACTGTTCATCACCCATAACCACGAGGGCCCTGCATCTTGGATGAAGAGGCGACTGCCGGGATGAAGGTGACGGTGACGTTTGGGCAGACAGGGGTGGTGGTGCCCTGCAAGGAGGGCTGGACTGTGAGGGAACTCATCCAGCAAGCCACGCAGAGATACAGAAAACTGCTGGAACAGGTACCATTCACAAGTTTCACCGTGACACCACCAATAATCTGACTGACCTTACTCTGAAGAAGACATACTCTTTTGACTCGATTATGATGTTTATATGAGTTACATAGAATGTATTGATAATGCTTTGTTGCCCAGCCCAAAGTCTCATCTCAACATCACGTCCACCACATCATATTCCGCATGTCTTAATTTGATAATTGCTTGTTCAGAGTATGACCTTTTTCAGGTTAAGGTAATCAGACAATGCTGTTTACGTGGTTTAATCAGGTTAGTATCAGAATATTGCAGAATACTAATATATGTCCAACAGGTACATCTCAGAATAACTTCAAAATTGTGGGCCACTGTACATGGCAGTTTTGAGCAGTCTTTTTTAAAATTTCATTACTGCTCCTTTGTTAAACTTTATGAGTGGCAGCAATTGTAGTAGTATAATAATATTTCATTGTTATTGATGCAAGATAGTCGAGTGTCTGCTCAAAAACACTACAAATTAAAACTCCATCTCCCTTCGAGTCTGTCTGACCTTTGAGCCACAAGTTAGCAACAGCATTAATTGTGAGAAGTAGTTTTGTAATCATGTGTGAAGATTTTCATGAACTCCTGAAAGGCGAGATAACTTTTTTATGAAACAGCGCTTTCATAATATGTGCGGTTTTCCCTGAAGTCGTAAAAAGAATAATCGAAAGCTCTGTCAATTTTATATCATGAAAGGAGCGTATGATTTTCAAAAGCCAAAGTCTTGGGAAATCAGACAAAGCCAGGAGGTCCAGTTCTCCATAATTGCTGTATAAAAAATTAAAAGCACATCTGATATGAATTATGAGGGTCCAGACAGGGGTAGGCATGAGTCGTTTCCACTTTGGTTGTGAGTGTAAAATGCAAATGTCTCCCTCTTGTGATTTCTTTATGTCTGCTGTTGATTCCCAGTGCTGCTCTTAGGCTGGGAACCCTGTGACCCCCATCAGACGACCAAATCTTCTCAGTGACTCGCTTCATATTGGCTCATTATTCAAAGAGCACAGCAGTCGTATAGATGGATGGCCTCAGTTGTGATTGAGGGAGAGCTGTCGAAGCTGTGTGTATGTTTGTGTTTGTGTGAGACTGTCGCTGAGGCAGTACTTGGAGATGCACTCATTTTTTCCACTCTCCGCTTATTCTTGCAATTTCTACCTTTTTGCCTTCTTAATCTCCTTTCATCGACCTGTACCCATCTCGACTCAGAGCTCCTGTGTGTTTTCCCTCCTTCATCTTATTTATCTGTCTTTTCTTCTCACTGGCATCTCCTCTTCACCTCCCTATAGGTAAAGCAGAACAGTGATAACTCTCCACAAAGCAGGAACCAATGCTTCTCTGTCATTTTTGTCACCTTCCTCTTTGAACGCTTCCTTCTTCACCTCCTGTTCCTTCTTTGTGAGACTCTGTTTTGCCAATGTTCCCTTCTAGACTAACAGCAGTGACAGCTGGGCAAAAGCAATGTATACTCCTTTAGGTCCATGTTTAAGTGTTTCACTGTAAAATACAATTGATCTCTTTGAGATGGGCTGATACCATTTTTCCCTTCCCAATTCCAATAACCTGACTTAGCCAGCTTGTTAAGTCCAGTTATTGGAATGCCAAGTAAATCCGATACCAGTGCATTTAAAAAAATAACAAGGTATTTACATATTTTAACAGCTATATTTTACAGACCATGTGTGGAAGTGGTGATTCCCATCATTGTTGTTTGACTTGGCTCAGCTTAAATCCTTTGAAAACAGACAATGAACCTATTTTGTTATCTAGTTTGAGTCATAACTGAAAAAGTACACAAAAAAATACACAACAATGAACTCGACAAGTATACCGCTTATCTTTCCTGCTTTGAGGCTGTCTTAGTCAAATTTATGGCATCATTTTTCACGTGGCTTTTGAAAGTTTCTTGTAATTTGTGCTTTTATCCCTTCAGCTTGGTGAACCTGAGCTCTTTCGTCTGATGGTTCAAAGTCCTTATGATATTTCTAGTGTTACAGTGTTCTACACTATTGTGCCACCCCTCGAAACTGATGTCTTGCATACAACACACATAGTTTGTTTTAATTGTGGGCGTAACCAAATGAAATATTGCGAAATTGCTAACATTTTAGCTAGCTGTAACGCTACAATATTGGAAATCACTTTTTCTTCTCTGCCCTAAAAACAGTAATTGCCAGTGCAGACCAACTGCTGTTTTGAAGCGGTGAAGAGTGAATTTCAGGGAAAGAAACTAAGATACTTTGTAGAGATTTGCGTACTTGCTGGTGAATCTCTTTTTGTGCAAGGAAATATAAACTGTTGTGATACTGGAGCTTTTTTAGCATTATTCAAAAAAAGACAAAATAGCGTGGGAACATTTGTGGATAACAGTGTTGAAGCTTTTGGCCTTAGACTGTTGACTGACACCTGAAGGCCAGCGCAGACCTTTTTACCACCGACAGTTTGGTATTTCACAGCAACAAGAGCACAAGTCGAATTGATAACATTGACAACAGCTGCATTCCTTTCAGCTGTACTCACTTGGCATGCATGGCCGACGGTGACCCTGGGTGGAGCGGAGCCATCACTGAGGAAATTTGTTTCAACAGTGCTTTTACATGAAATGTCTAAATGTCAGCTGTGAAATAGGTCTGTTGCTAGGAGATGCATTGTTAACTTCTATGCTGAGCCGCTGATGACATTAGACCCAAAATTGCCTTCTGAAATGAGTGATATTACAAACTATTTTTAGTTCCTTACAATAAAATTACTCTTATACAGACATCATCAGTGTGAACCAAAGACTCGTGAAACACAAATTTAGAGGAGGCTGTCACTGCATAAAAAATAACACTCATACATATCCTCCTTCTGTTTTAAAATCAAGGACATGTACACTTCTTAGCAATAAGAAGTGATTTTCAGGGTGTAAAACCAAAGGTTTATACACACTGTGGTGTTAAAGAAGCAGCAACATTTTAGTCGTTTTTAATATTCACTGAAAGACAGAGATCTAATCAATAGAGCAGGGAAGTGCATCATTACACACTGCAGCGGCAGGAAAACACTTGGAGCTTTCTCTCTGAGTGTTTAAATACTTTGTTTCCTGCTTGAGTGAATGAAATGACACGCACTATGTGTGTATGTGTGTTTGGGCCTCCTCTCCCATGTTTATTTTTCTCCTCTCTGTTTTCTTTCTCTCCTCCCACACCTTGGTCAGCATTCCAAAACCTCACAATGTTGATGACTGCCCATTTCTTTCATTTTGTTGTTCTGTACAGATGAAAATTGGTTTGTTTGATCAGTGTATGTGTGTGCTAAAAGAATGTATGAACATAAATGTACATTTTTATTTGCACAATTTGCACTAAACCATGTAATATTTAAACCAGGAGTAGTATTTTCCTCTCTGAGCCAAAGTGGGTCAAAACCTGTCCTCTTTTGCATGTCAGGGGTGCAGCTGGAACTGCAGGAGAGCTTCTATTCATCTGGCAAGGAGTAGGTTCCCTGGTGAGGGTGGTGGGGGGTTCAAGCCGAAGAGGGTTGATTATTGTGACTGCTCCGTGAACACGCATGCATTATGCTCTCATGTGCATCCAAATGGCAGGTACACAGAGAGGTCAGGTTTTATGCCAAAGTCTGGGTGTCTGCTGAGGACAATAAAAACGGGATGTTTTCTGGCCTGCCGATCATTATGAAACCGTGGCAGGACAAATTAGAAGATGGCAGGGCGCCACAGTCTTGGTAATTAAGGGGAAACACTGGGGAGGACAAACACATGGTGAAACGGAAAGAAGAAGAGAGGAGAGAAGTTGACTGTAAATGACAGAAAATCAGTATTACTGAGCTGAAATGAAACAAATGCAAGTAAATAAACATTATAATTAGTCAGAAATGTTTTTTCTTTGGTCTGTTGAGGGTGGCAGAGGTCCCAGTTGGGATGTTTGTGTTCACTTACTCTGCGTTTATTCCTCCTCTCTCTGATGGTGAATGAGGAAAACCTTTAGTGCTTCATCTCACCCCATCACTTTCCTTAAATTTGTTTCTTGATATATATTTCTCACTTTCTTCCCATCACTAAGTCATGTTACTGCAACACTAATCTCTTGGTGTGGCTGTGTAATTATAGTGGTTAGTGTGTCTAGGACTAGAAATCCAGGATATGAGTGAATTATTTAGCTGCCTAGTCACTAATCCTTCTTCCCAGTGCTACAACTCATATTTTTAAATCGTCACTGAGACAGGTCACTTTCTGTCAGTCTCTCTTCAGCCTCTCTATCAGCTTCATCCTACTTAGAGAGCTTGCTGCTCATAAACATTTTATTATCTTGCGTGTTCCAGCCTACGACTACTGTAGCTAACTAACACTGGTTTTCCTATTTATCAGCTGCTTTGTTAGCGTTTCCCACTGAGGTGCTTAAGAGGAGCTAACACTTAGAATAGGCATTAAAGCTACATTTTAGTGATCTTGAAAGCAGTTGGAAATCTTTGAGGTTCAGTCTTACGTTGAGTTTCTGAGAGGATTTATTTTGTATTATAGCTGCATTGATTTTTTTTTTTTTTTCAGTTTCACATTGATTACAGCCTTATTATTAGAATTTCTATACCCCTTTGTGTTACCCAGTATGGAACCAAAGGGGGAGAGAGGAGAGACAAGTGGGATTCGAAATTGAATGGAAGTGAAGGAGCGGTAATGTTTTAGCATGGAGGATGCCAAGCCTTTGTTATAGTAATACATTGAAAAGTACATTTTAAGTATTCTGTCGACTCTCAGCTCACTCAGTGAAAACTCAAGTCACTCATTTCATTTAAACACTGTAATAGTAATCATGAGTTCAGCTGATTTGTATTTTGGCTGTGCAGTCATAGCTCAGTGACTCATGTCAGGCTAGTTGTAGATAGTTCATGGAAAAATGTCTTAACGGGTCAATTTAGGCAAGTATGTGTACAGTGATTAGCATTAAAAATGTATTGTTTTATTTCACAAAGTGAGACGGCAACAAAAT